TTTTTTTTCATTGAGAAAATTCAGAGGATCGATGGATCCTACACAACATACGTGCATCTATTAAAGACGGTGCACATCCCCGGCTCCATGCTCATTCAATTCTCATCCTTTTATGGCAACGAATAAACCGGAGAATTTGTTTTTTACAAAAATGAAGAATAGACAGAATAGACGATGTATTGATTTACCAAAAAATTATGAAATGACATCAGAAAATCATCGTGCGGGTAAAAATACGAATGGCTAGACGTGTACTGCGGCACGGAATTCGACTACACCCCGAAAGGTAACGGGCAAGAAAGAATTCCGAGAATTAACGAGGAGAAAAATGGTTCGTGCGCTGACTAAAAAAATTTTGTCTCAAACATTTTTCATTATCATATCAGAAACGGTTAGAAGAAAAGTGATGAGTATTATAATGTCGTTATTATTAGACTTACACACGGATGAATCGTACCTTGTTTCTCAACCAGATTTTTTTGATTAACCAATGAAAGAAAGGCCTTGTAGATTTTTGATGGAAGACGTGTGTATTGTTTGGAGCAGAGTAAATTGTTGTACTCCCTTGAATAATAGCTCTTAAGAAAAAAAAAAAAAAAAACCATAACATCTATAACATCGCACCGATTAGACTTATTAACGCCAAATATCAACGCACACATGTATCACCATGTACCCTCTATCTATTATTTTTTACGCCAGGTTTGCCTGAAATTAATGTCTGTCTGTCATGTTATCAATAAAGATATTTTGAAATTGGCGGGAATACATTGATATTAGCCTATAAATTAGAACAATTGACAATTGACGCGTGACGCTGATTATTCCAGTGTAAAATCGTCATATCTAGATAAAAAAATTGTCTGCAATGGACAGCCGTGTTTGGAAAGATCAAAGTGATAAGCTTCCTAAAAAAGATTCCGCAGTTTTTAGACTATACATAGTGACATGGTGACGTCTAATATTTCCGATTGTGCCAATCAGAAAAGCACACGGTCTAGAATTCGAATGAGCGCGACTCTCTTTCAACGACAAACAGTTGCTCACGTGATTTATATGAATCACGTGAAATTGGCAAGTCGAATCAATCAATCAGCCGAATTTGTACAAATTTGGTGCAGGTCGCAAACTGGACGAGCACAATCGGTTATTCTGAATGGGTGGAATGCGTTATGCCAAGGATATTTTTCTAAGGATATATTGTTTTCGATAAGAGGAAAGAGTGTGCGCACAAGGTCTGCCATACGCAAGGAAAGCGATACATTCCACGTATTGTGCGTACTGATTGATTTGTTTCATGTGATGTGAAATAATAGACCCCTTCGAGTAGAAACATCCTAATAAATCGAAAACCCTTTGTGGAGACGGTAGGTTCATGCACACCAAGCTGATGTGGCAGTGAGTAAATGTTAAGATGTGACAAAGGTGACGCGTTCTTTTCTAATTATGACGAAAAGAGAGGTTACGCAACACGAGGAAATAATTTTTTGATGAATGTTTACGCCATCTGAATATATATATCAATCACAATGTCCGGAAACCGGTATGTGTGAGAATGTTATGAGTTAGTTTCGTGAAACTACCATTATTGGGGTTGGAAGATGAAACGAATAATGATTTGATTGTTCCCTCTTGCGAAAAAAATAAATGCATCGGAAGAACCAAGAGTAGCACAGATTATCAAAGAAGAAGTTTGTATTCTCGCGAAGAACCTGATGAGAATGCAAATATCGTAAAATCACGTGTACGATTCGGATGAATTCCAAAATTCTCCTTGCCGAAATCCACTTTGAATAGAGATTAGCCTAAAACATGACGTTCCGGGTAAGCGCAACTTCCGTTCATATGCTCCAACACCATATTTTTTTTTTTTTTTTTGATCTCATAACGAACGGTAGCATGCATCTCGCTAATTAGGTAATACGTAACAATGAATATTTGGTGGAACATGTGTTATGCAGGGAATGAGGGCTGCAGCGTGAAGTTATGGTCATTTGATTTTTCATAATTCAATG